ATCACCTGGCAGGGAGACTGATAGATCACCTGGGAGGGAGGCTGATAGATCACCTGGCAGGGAGGCTGATAGATCACCTGGCAGGGAGGCTGATAGATCACCTGGCAGGGAGGCTGATAGATCACCTGGCAGGGAGGCTGATAGATCACCTGGCAAGGAGGCTAGGTGGCCTCCTTCTGTTTTGTTCTCAGATTCTTCGAAATTATCTTAAATATAGTGTGACAATAAAGTCAGCCTAAAATCAATAATAACGATATAATCTATATGTCAGTGAGAATCCGGGAACCATGAGAAATGCTTTTGTGAATTGGGATGGCAGGAACTGGGATGAACTGGGATGATAGGAGCTAGGATGATAGGAACTGGGATGATAGGAGCCAGGATGATAGGAACCGGGATGGCAGGAACTGGATGATGATAATAACTAGATGATAGTACTTGGGACAACAGGACCTGGGATGACAGGACGTAGGATCATAACGCCGCTGCACTAATATCTTAGCATCAGAATAAGATTTTAAAAGCCACTTGAACACTGGCTTCCTTACAGGATAACAATGAACTATAGCTTTGCACAAATTTTGGTAGATTAGGTTAGGTTGCGTTAAATTTGGCTAGGTTAAATCAGGCTAGTTAGGTCAAACACGGTTTGCTTAGGTTAGGTAAATAAAGTTCTTTCATATTTCTCAAACGCAGTTTCTGGGGGGTATTTATTGATGATCCTTGGCCCATACAGTGGGCTGTATTCAGTTGTAAATAGAGAGCGTTTATAACTGAATGTACTCACCTAGTTGAGGTTGCAGGGGTCGAGTTCATGTGTGTGTGTGTGTGTGTGTGTGTGTGTGTGTGTGTGTGTTATATCTGACACTTAACGAGCTAAGTGGAGAGGTTAAGTTATTCCAAGAATTGGCTAATAATAACTGCTTTTTTCTGTGACTGTGATTGTTTTTCACCAGTTGCAGGTCCTCTAACAGGGACTCCTCGGCACCTGCCAGAGTGCCATCATCCTGGTACCAATACTGAGTTCACTTCGTAGGCTGGAAGTTAAGTTCTCTTACTGCCAAGCGGAAGAGAAGTGGAGCGAGTGGATCACCCTGCTGAACACCCTCTGATGAGGGAATTTAATGTTCGCCCAACAAAAGAATTGAGGGTTTGCTGTAGTCAGCTGAAATGAAGGGAAAAAAACTGGGGAACCAATCCCGAATGGCCGGCAAGACCACATCTCTCTTTATCATATTAAAGGCATTTCTAAAATCAAGTTTGACTACGGCCTTGTTTTCTGGTAAACTGGCAGCTTCTAGGCGAATGTTTCTTACTGCTGCTTTGGCAACTTGACGGCGAAGAGTGTTACCAACAGCAATTGGTCTGATTCCCCCATCCTTCTTCAAAGCTCATAGTGAGGTTCCAAAAAAGAAAGGTTTAATTTCTTCTGGGACACGCCCAGCCAGGCAGTTGTTGACGAAAGTTGTTAATTCGGTGAGAAGAATTGATGCAGATGCGCCGAGTACTGGATTTAAGATCTCTTTGAGGTGTAGTGGTCGAATTCCAGTGTAACCTCCTGCAGATCCTGCTGGAAATGACACTATCGCCTTATAAACTTCTGATTCTGACAAAATTAATTGTTCATTGAGGGGATCTCCTTCAGGGTTGTTGTTGACGGCTGTGGTGTCCCTTGTTGGATGTTTGTCTCATTGTGTTTGGGCTGTGGTCTCATTATCTTTGGGAGCTACGGTTTCTCCACTTGTAATTATATATATTGTGTGTGTGGACACAGAGATACACAAACAGAGAGATAAAGTGATAGGGTCATACAGCACCTGGGGTATGTGAGATAATCAGGCTGGATCTGAGAAACTAGAGATTAGCTAAAATTCAATGGATCAAGGATCTTGAGTAGTATCAAGGTATCTTCTTAAGGGAATATACTATATATTCATATTGTGGCACATACATGTCAGTATTACTGTGGTATATTTATGTCAGTATTACTGTGGTATATTCAAGTCAGTATTACTGTGGTATATTCATTTCAGTATTACTGTGGTATATACACGTCAGTATTACTGTGATATATACATGTCAGTATTACTGTGGTATATACATGTCAGTATTACTGTGGTATATTCATGTCAGTATTACTGTGGTATATACATGTAAGTATTACTGTGGTATATTCATTTCAGTATTACTGTGGTATATTCATGTCAGTATTACTGTGGTATATACATGTCAATATTACTGTGGTATATTCATTTCAGTATTGCTGTGGTATATTCATTTCAGTATTACTTATGTATTTGCATGTTAGTATTACTGTGGTATATACATGTCAGTATTACTGTGGTATATTCATGTCAGTATTTCTGTGGTATATACATGCCAGTATTACCGTGATATATACATGTCAGTATTTCTGTGGTATATACATGTCAGTATTACCGTGGTACATACATGTCAGTATTACCGTGGTATATACATGTCAGTATATCTGTGGAATATACATATCAGTGTTGAACATACAGTTTAATACTGTGTTAAACAATTAAAATAAAAAATCGTCTTTTAATGATGCAGTTCTTTACAAAATATTAAGTGTTTCTAATTATTTATTTTTCAAAAAACATTTTCCAGGACGACATCAAGTTTTTAAAAATAATTTTGGTTCTGCTGGAAGTCTTGACCTACAGGATAAAATTCCCCACATTTTCTAAACGGGGAGAAACAGAATTAATATATATTTTTTTACGGTTCATTAAATACACTAAACACGTTGTCGGTAAAAGACTAAGAATAATGTGAGTGTTCAAATATTTCTGCTTAACAACATGTGTTCCAGATGTGATGGTTTATTTGGTGTAAAATTTTACCTACGACACAAGGGTCGTTAAAAGGCTTCGGTTTACTGGGATACCTTTAGTTGGGGATACTTGCGTACTTTAAATAAGGATAAAAGTAAACTCTCTTAGAGATAGACGACTCTTGATGTGCGTATATATATATATATATATATATATATTATATATATATATATATATATATATATATATATATAATATAATATATATATATAATATATATATATATATATATATATTCCCACTGTAACTACCCGATTATAACTATCCCACTGTAACTACCCCACTGTAACTACCCCACTGTAACTACCCCATTGTAACTACCCCACTGTAGGTACCCACTATAGGCACCCCACTGTAACTACCTCACTGTAAGTACCCCATTGTAGGTACCCCTCTGTAGGTACCCCCACTGTAACTATCCCACTGTAACTACCCCACTGTAGGTACTCCACTGTAGGTACCCCACTGTAACTACCCCACTGTAACTAACCCACTGTAGGTACCCCACTGCAGCTACCCCACTGTAGGTACCCCACTGTAACTACTCTACTGTAGGTACCCCACTGTAACTACCCCACTGTAGGTACCCCACTGTAACTACCCCACTGTAGGTACCCCACTGTAGGTACCCCCAATGTAACTACCTCACTGTAACTACCCCACTGTAGGTGCCCCACTGTAGGTACCCCACTGTAGGTACCCCACTGTAGGTACCCCACTGTAGCTACCCCACTGTAACTACCCCACTGTAGGTACCCCACTGTAGGTACCTCACTGTAGGTACCTCACTGTAGGTACCCCACTGTAGGTACCCCACTGTAAGTACCCCACTGTAGGTACCCCACTGTAGCTACCCCACTGTAACTACCCCACTGTAGGTGCCCCACTGCAGCTACCCCACTGTAGGTACCCCACCGTAGGTACCCCACTGTAACTACTCCACTGTAGGTACCCCACTGTAACTACCCCACTGTAGGTACCCCACTGTAACTACCCCACTGTAGGTACCCCACTGTAGGTACCCCCAATGTAACTACCTCACTGTAACTACCCCACTGTAGGTGCCCCACTGTAGGTACCCCACTGTAGGTACCCCACTGTAGCTACCCCACTGTAACTACCCCACTGTAGGTACCCCACTGTAGGTACCTCACTGTAGGTACCTCACTGTAGCTACCCCACTGTAGGTACCCCACTGTAGGTACCCCACTGTAGGTACCCCACTGTAGCTACCCCACTGTAACTACCCCACTGTAGGTACCCCACTGTAGGTACCCCACTGTAGCTACCCCACTGTAACTACCCCACTGTAGGTACCCCACTGTAGGTACCCCACTGTAGGTACCCCACTGTAGCTACCCCACTGTAGGTACCCCACTGTAGGTACCCCACTGTAGGTACCCCACTGTAGCTACCCCACTGTAACTACCCCACTGTAGGTACCCCACTGCAGCTACCTGTTGTCCCACTATAAACACACACACATCCTGAAGTAATCCATCAACCTCCTATTTACTTACACTCTATATCTTATCTTGTATTCTTATATATCAACTTTAGTTTGAAGAACGTATTACCTATTACCTTACTTCTTTTCGAACATAATTCAGTTAAATTATTCTCTTACTATAACCTATTTCGCTACGTCTCTAACTCTTACTCTCTCTCAAATATACCCTACTTAACACTATTTACTCCTCTCAACTGCAATTTTCACTTCTCCTTGTGCTTTGTTTTGCTTAGAGTTAAGACAGCCAATCTCTTTTAATTCATAACTGTCACAATTAATTTTGTGTGCATCCATGCTGCAGCCGCGCATGTTCAAATATGCCAACTTTAAAATTTCCTGCCTTTCGATTTAGTAATTAATGCTGGAGAAAGGAATGGTTACTATACAGGAGAAATATCTATAATATTTATGCTAAAAGAAAAGATGAGGAAGGGGGTGCCAGGCCACTCTCGAGGGAGTGACTCTCACACCTCACCACCATAGTAAGATGACTTAGCATTGGGATTAAGGCAGGGAAAAGGGAGAGGGGCAAGCCAGGTGAATGGGAGAGAGGTAGCGGAGAGAGAGGAAGGGAAAAGCAAGTGAAGGAAGGAAGATGAAAGGGAGAGATGCATTGAAAGAACTATGCTCACCTGAGGATGTCTGGCAGCCTCCAGGTAATCTCTGGCGTCATTCCACAGTTCCTTGAGTACAGCGCCGCTGAGCTCAGCCCACCCTGGTCCCTCACTCCTCCCCTCCCAGTCCTCGCCCTCTGCTGACCCCGCCCACTGGCGAGCGTCAGCCCACCCCGCCCACTCGCCCTGCGGGGTGTCCGCCCTGCTGCTGGCAGCTGTGGTGCTGGTGGGTTCCACATTTTCCTCTTTCTTCCGGTATCCCAAGAATGTTACACGTTCCTCGTGTTCAAGGAAGCTCCGCTTCCTCCTAGTTCTTCCTGCTTTTTCCTGGAGTCCTGAGAAGTCTATCCTCTCGTCTTCTTCTTCGGAGGAGGAGTTTACTGCTTGTCCCCCTTCTGAGGGTCCGGCCTTTCTTGAGCTCTCAGAAAAACTCTCTTTCCTATCCGGCTGCACCGCTGTTTCTACCGTATGGCTGACACTCAGCCGTTCTCTCTGTCCTGAAGACTCACTTGTGGCATCCCCCGCTGCCTTCGACACTGCCGTCTTCTGGTGGTCCGGAGGTGTGGTCCCGTGGCCTAAGTTGTCCAGGTGTCCCGGATGGTCACCCCTACCTCCCGGGTGGCCACTGCTGCCCGGCCCACAGATGTCACCTGCTTTCCCCTGCTTCAAGCACCTCTTGGAAGCGTCCTGCTTCTCATTAAGAGACGCCATTCCTGCCACTTACCGATGTAACAACAGGTAAAGTGTAGTCATTAGTCTGTCTCAGGACTGTTTCTTACCCATTATTACCGAAATTATTTAGCGAGTCTGTCTAATTAGTCTGTGTTGCCTATATCCCATGATTTCATCTATTATTTCGTGTTTCATTTCACGTAGGCTTCAGCCTCCTTTAAATTCTTCATTTCATTCCATTTTCTTGATTTCCGCAACGTTCGCTTTACTGTCTTCTACGTCAATGTTTGTCTTTATTTCAGTGTTTTCTTTACGTGTTTATCCATGAATCACTATTTTTTTATTTTTCTTTTTTTTTACAAATCTGACCTGTTGAATCGAATTTCTATTACACTTATTCATGGCATAAATGTAGAGCATATTTCAGTTATAATAAATGTCGCATATAAAGTTAATCCGTATTTATTCTTGAGGAATCATGACAGAGTTTCCAGTCGCAGTTCGACTGCACGAAACTGTAGTTTCCAGTCGCAGTTCGACTGCACGAAACTGTAGTTTCCAGTCGCAGTTCGACTGCACGAAACTGTAGTTTCCAGTCGCAGTTCGACTGCACGAAACTGTAGTTTCCAGTCGCAGTTCGACTGCACGAAACTGTAGTTTCCAGTCGCAGTTCGACTGCACGAAACTGTAGTTTCCAGTCGCAGTGCGGCTGCACGAAACTGTAGTTTCCAGTCGCAGTGGCGCTGCACGAAACTGTAGTTTCCAGTCGCAGTTCGACTGCACGAAACTGTAGTTTCCAGTCGCAGTTCGACTGCACGAAACTGTAGTTTCCAGTCGCAGTTCGACTGCACGAAACTGTAGTTTCCAGTCGCAGTGCGACTGCACGAAACTGTAGTTTCCAGTCGCAGTGCGACTGCACGAAACTGTAGTTTCCAGTCGCAGTGCGACTAATAACCTTCAGAAAAAACACTGTACATTAAAATATCCTAAAATATAGTCAATGCAAGATTGAAATAACAATAATAATAATAATTATAAAAATAATAATATAATAATAATAATGATATACTACTACTACTACTACTACTACTAATAATAATAATAATAATAATAATAATAATAATAATAATAATAATAATAATAATAATAATAATAATAATAATAATAATAATAATAATGATAATAATAATGAATAAATAGAAGAAAAGAAAAAGACGAACAGAAGAAGAAAAAGACGAACAGAAGAAGAAAAAGACGGAGAGAAGAAGAAAGTAGACGACTCGCTACCAAACACCACAAACAATACACCAACTTGTTGTATGCAAGTGTCTGGTGTGTTAAGTCATGATACACTTGTCTTATAGATTAGCAAATGCAAATTGGTGTTCTGGGAAGAAGTAATGTCCTTTGTAGACTAAAATTTTAATTACAGTGGAATTACTGCATGAAAAGTGATTTATTCTCCAGGGAGCAAGTGTGTATGTGTGAGTGTGTGTGTGTGTGTATGTGTGAGTGTGTGTGTGTGTGTATGTGTGAGTGTGTATGAGAGAGTGTATCTGTGTGTTTGTGTGAGTGTGTGTATGTGTGTGTATGTGTGAGTGTGTGTATGTGTGTGTATGTGTGTGTATGTGTGAGTGTGTGTGTGAGTGTATGTGTGAGTGTGTGTGTGTTTGTGTGTATGTGTGAGTGTATGTATGTGTGTGTATGTGTGAGTGTGTGTATGTGTGTGTATGTGTGAGTGTATGTGTGGTGTGTGTGTGTATGTGTGTGTATGTGTGAGTGTGTGTGTGAGTGTATGTGTGAGTGTGTGTATGTGTGTGTATGTACTCACCTAATTGTGGTTGCAGGGTGTCGAGACTCAGCTCCTGTGTAAAAGTGTTGTGTGTGTGTTATGTGTGTGTGTATGTGTGTGTGTGTGAGTGTATGTGTGTAGTGTGTGTGTGTGTGTGTGTGTATGTGTGAGTGTGTGTGTGTGTTAGTGTGGAGTGTGGTGTGTATGTGTGAGTGTGTGTATGTGTGTGTATGGTGTGTGTATGTGTGAGTGTGTGTTGTGTAGTGTTATGTGTGAGTGTTGGTGTGTGTGTGTGTATGTGTGAGTGTATGTGTGTGTATGTGTGAGTGTGTGTGTGAGTGTATGTGTGAGTGTGTGTGTGTGTGTGTGTGTGTGTATGTGTGAGTGTATGTGTGTGTATGTGTGAGTGTGTGTATGTGTGTGTATGTGTGTGTGTATGTGTGTGTATGTGTGAAAGTGTGTGTGTGTATGTGTGTGTGTATGTGTGAGTGTGTGTGTGAGTGTATGTGTGAGTGTGTGTGTGTATGTGTGAGTGTGTGTAAGTGTGAGAGTGTGTGTGTATGTGTGAGTGTGTGTGTGTGTATGTGTGAGAGAGTGTGTGTGTATGTGTGAGGGTGTGTACTCACCTAATTGTGGTTGCAAGGGTCGAGTCTTAGCTCCTGGCCCCGCCTCTTCACTGGTTGTTACTGGGTCCTCTCTCTCCCCGCTCCATGAGCTTTATCAAACCTCGTCTTAAAACTATGTATGGTTCCTGCCTCCACTACGTCACTTTCAAGACTATTCCACTGCCTGACAACTCTATGACTGAAGAAATACTTCCTAACATCCCTTTGACTCATCCGAGTCTTCAGCTTCCAATTGTGACCTCTTGTTTCTGTGTCCCTTCCCTGGAACATCCTGTCTTTGTCCACCTTGTCTATTCTGCGCAGTATTTTATAAGTCGTTATCATGTCACCCCTGGTCTTTGACTGTTGTCTTCCTCCTAATGTGGCTATGCAGCAGTTTCGGGTCAGACTTGACTTTCGATGCTATGTCGTTTTCGTACTGTCGCTGGGCCTCCCTCCTTATCTGTGCATACTCGTTTTTGGTTCTTCTACTAATATCCTTATTTTCCTGAGTCCTTTGCCTCCTGTACCTTTTCCATTCTATGGTGCACTTAGTTTGTGTGTATGTGTGTGTGTGTGTGTGTGTGTGTGTGTGTGTGTGTGTGTGTGTGTGTGTGTGTGTGTGTGTGTGTGTGTGTGTGTGTGTGTGTGTGTGTGTGTGTGTGCGTGTGTGTGTGTGTCCACAAAATGTAGACTCTCATGTATATTATTTACATATTTTTTATTAAATTTTAAATAACAGCTGAAGTAAAACAGTTATATTAGATATTACTGATTCTCTTATATATTTAACTACATTGATGAATATGATGTTTTGCGCTAAACTTTCTATGTTGACAGATATGATAATTTTAATTGGCTGTCCCATGTTGCTTATTCACTAGTCTGCTAATTCTGACGCTTTCTGGGATGTGTGAGAAGCTGAGAGAGAATCTCACTGCATTCTTACAGTTGCTGCTTTATTCTCTCTCTCTCTCTCTCTCTCTCTCTCTCTCTCTCTCTCTCTCTCTCTCTCTCTCTCTCTCTCTCTCTCTCTCTCTCTCTCTCTCTCTCTCTCTCTGGACAACGTCTTGTGGTATAGACGAGGGTTTGTGTTAGTGCATGATCTTATCGGTGATCTGGTCAGACTTATCCTATGTAGAACTATGTTCCCAGAAGTTTATTTAATCTTAGAGATTTCTGTCATTTTGTGGTTGTGTCGTGAGACACTCGGCATGATTCAGGTCTCGAATCTTACTCTCGATGCAAATTTTTATAACCGACATCAACGGTTTGCAACTTGCTATTCTCAGATTTAGTAATTTAATTTTTTTTCACGTTTAATGAAAGACCCATCAATTGTCCCCATTTAGGGACACTGTTTGCAAAGTGGTCGCTGTTCTGTTCATGCAAGATGTGTGTTTATAGTTTGCCTCTGTTTATTTAAATAAGGACATGCTGAATATTGGCAGTCAGTTCCCGTGCTGAGCCTGCCCACACACACACACACACACACACACACACACACACACACACACACACACACACACACACACACACACACACACACACACACACACACACTACTTATTCTGATATTTTCGGAGGACGATTTAGTGCAGTAATGTGCCATTTGGAAGAGTTTATTACTACAAGTTCAATATTACACAGGATATAAATTAACGTGTTTAAGAGGCCGGTTGAAGTTAATTTAGTCATATCTGATCTATATAATTAATAGACACAAGCCACGCATCAAGCGGTGTGTAGGACACCAATAATTCAGGCAACATTAATCTTTATTGCAAATACTGTTAGCTCGAAGCACAATTTTTGGTTCAGTAAAGTTCTTAACTTGTTACAGTTTGTACTTGTTCTCCCATTCACATACTTATTAAAGCTTTACCTAATAACTGCACTCTTCCAATATCAGTGGTGCTGTTACCGTGAGCTGAGGAGCAGATTCCGTCACGGCTGTTACTAGCTAGACGCAGGATACTAGAAGCGTATCAATAAATTGACACTCTTGTATTCTCTGGTTGGTGTCTGTGCTAATAGATGTCATAACATTTGAAAGAGAGAGAGAGAGAGCGAGCGAGAGAGAGAGAGAGGAGAGAGAGAGAGAGAGAGAGAGAGAGAGAGAGAGAAGAGAGAGAGAGAGAGAGAGAGAGAGAGAGAGAGAGAGAGAGAGAGAGAGAGAGAGGACAGAGACAGAGAGAGAGACAGAGACAGAGAGAGAGAGTATGAGAGACAGAGACAGTTATTATAGACTGACACCAAGAGATCACAGCAGTACTGAGACCGAACACAAGGACACAATTTGCAGAACAAACTTTTACCAGGACAACGTTTCGCTTTGTGTTGCGCTCTATCAGTCCAGATAAGCCGGACGCAGAGCGAAAAGCTGTCCAAATAAAAATCTTTTACGCATCTTGTGTGTCTGTCTACACACTTCTCCGTATTACGTCACTCGAGCCACAATGGTGAGAAACTCGAGAACTACGCTGCTCAACTTTTTTTTAAAGAATGAAGATGATGGACATCTAAAAAGAAATAACATTAACAAAATATGGAAAACCAAAATTGGAATAAGTAACTGTGATTTTATATAAACTTCTGAAGAACTACTTAGAGGATAAACGAAAGTTTTAGGCATGTTTATACTGACGAGTTAATTAAAAAATGCGAGTTTTAAGTAAAATACGTAAGTCAAAAGAACATAAACTCATGACATCACTACTATGACAGAGAGGAACTCATGACATCACTACTATGACAGAGAGGAACTCATGACATCACTACTATGAGAGGAACTCATGACATCACTACTATGACAGAGAGGAACTAATGACATCACTACTATGACAGAGAGGAACTCATGACATCACTACTATGACAGAGAGGAACTCATGACATCACTACTATGAGAGAGGAACTCATGACATCACTACTATGACAGAGAGGAACTCATGACATCACTACTATGACAGAGA